AATCTAGTTCGTCCGTACGATTATTTTATTTAATTTGTTTCCAAATAAACTGAAAGACTTTAAACTAATTGCGAATTCTTGTAGACGTCACTTTATTTACTTTGATACCACCTGTTGAATGTAACCCGACGTGGTCACTCTTTTTTTTGCTTAGTTACAAAAATGATGAAAGAAATGAATTTTGAAGCTTGAGACAAAGTAGAAACAAATGCATGCATTAATTTTACGATTGCTAATGATGGAATGCAAACTTTACTCTGCGAAATAGAATTTTATTCTCAGCATCTTTTTGGGACTGCATAAGAAATGCACAGCAAAGTAAATTTTGCTCTAAGAAATTTATTTTGTCAAAAGAGAGTAAAATTTGCTTTGTATATTTGTGTTATAAAAATACAAATATTTATCGATAAAAGAATTGGAATTTCAACCATCTTTCATGTTTGATGTTTTTATTTGGCTTTATTTTGGATTTTCTACTAAACTAAATTAAAACAAATTAAAAAAATGGCAAAAGTTTCGGAAAAATTATTTAAAATTTTCGTTTACGGTACACTTAAAAATGGAGAATTCAATCACTCTTTATTAACTAATGCGAATAACGGTTTTGCAAGATATATAGGCGAAGGGAAGACTGTTCAAAAATATCCACTTATTATAAGTACCCGATTTAATATTCCATTCTTGTTGGATAAATGCGGTCGTGGCCATAATGTTAAGGGTGAGGTGTATGAAGTGGATGAAGAAATGTTGAAAAAATTAGATGAATTAGAAGAGTATCCAGAATATTACGATCGTGAAATACAAGATATAAGAATGGAAAAAAAGGATGAGTAAGTTCAAGCAGATTTATCCTTGAGATACGATTATTGTTTTTTTTTTTTTTAAGGGTTGAGAAGTGCTGGTTATATTTAATGAGAAACTGCCCGGACCACTTATTGCAAAAACCATTGCTCAATTCCTACCACAGTAGCCCAGAATTTCCTTATAAACCAAGGTCTGAGCGCGATTCAAATATAAATATTAAAGACGAAATGATTTAATGATAAAAAAAAGATATTACCGGAATGATATTGCAAACAATTTAAGCTTAAACATGCATTTCTATTTCCATATACTTTTAGAGTGAAAAGTAAAAAAGGATTCCAATTTCAATTTTACCCATTAGAAAAATGAAGATGAGAAGATTCTAAGAATATGTTGGCAATCAGTTCAAATATAAATTAATTAAAAATTCTTTGTAAATATTTCAATGCATTTAAACATTTTTATTTCCAAAATAATTTATATTAATAGAGACACATTAAACGACAATTCATATCAATATTTTATTAATTTTCAATTTCTTTATTTACCCGTTTAATCTATTGATTACATAAGAAAAGTAGAACCGGGTCTTGTAGCTTACAAAGCCATTTTGTAAAGTATTAAACAAGGTTAACGTTCTGCGGCTGCACATCATTTTTTCTCAAAAAATAAGGTTATGATGGCTTTGAGAAACAAAAAAAAAAATATATATATAATATATATATCTATATACGTATATATAGATACATTCAAGCGATCACGTAAAAAACGGTATTTATAAGATTTGTTTGCAGTTTTTTGACAGCAGAGAGTTGGCGGATTATTATAAAAATATAAAACGAAGTAAAAAATACAATTTACTAGCAATGGAAATAAAAATGGAATAGGAAGTCCATTACTCTTTGTTATAACATTCGGTAAAAAAGAATCCAAATAAAAATTAAGCCCAAACTCCTGCAAGGAGACGCGCTCGAGGCTGAAGGTTTCAAAAATTGCATTACAAAGAAAAACTCTAGCTTTCGGTTTCTTCTAACGATTGGAAACGATTTGAAGCATTAATTGGAGTGATAGGTTGCTCTTTCATTACCCTCTGAACACGACTACCATGGCGCACCTCTTCGAAGGCAGGTTCGTTTTTCTTTTTGCGTTGCTCTTCAGGTCGAGCAGCACCCAAAGATGGAAAATAATCGGAATTGGTTATATCAGGCGCAGCCTTTGAACGCAATTTAGATTTTTGACTGGCTTCCAAAGGTTTCTAGAATGTAAGTCTATAAATGCTTGACAATCTTTTCTTTCTTCAAAACTTACCACTCGGTATAGAAGCGACGCCTTCGGCATCTCCATGGGTATTTGCGTCACCTCATCAGCTGGAATAACTTTCTTCCAGGGACCCCCATCAGAAAAAGTCCCCAATTCCGTGTTAATGCTACCTTCATCGGCATCATCTTCGCCGCCATCTGAAACGCTCTGTTCTTCATCATCATTTAGTGTCAACTGACCAATTTTCAAGCCTGAATAGTCTTTCCGTTGTTCTTCTTCAAACTCCTTCCATTCTTCTTCAACATTCTGATAAAGCAAAATAGCTATTATAGTGATTTGATTTCAACACACAATAGTAAATAACTTTGCCCAATAATGGTGTTTTCAAAATTGTCCAACACACACCTGCTCATTGTTTTTTATTTTATCTTCACCATCGCCACTATTCAGATTGGGAGAGTTTGCTGTTGTTGTGGACTCCTGTTTTTTAGGTTTTACTAATTCGCGCTTCGAGGTCTCCTCCAAACTCTTTACCAACTCTTCGGCCGTCAAAAATTTTGGCTTTTTCGATTTTTTCTTGTCCTTTTTGGCAAAAAAATCGTCCAAGTCAGCCATTGTTGTTGAATAGAATTTGGACAACTTAAGTCTGTAATTGCAATATTGATAATTAATATAGTTAAACAAATTTTACTTCTAAATTACTGTTGGATTTTTGCTAAAATTTAGCATGCGGAATCTTAACTTTCATGACTTACCCACTCTCGACCTTTCAAAGAAAAAGGAATTTTATTACAAATTGTTTTTCCATAAGAGCGAAAGAGAAAAATATAGTTTCGTAAAGTAACGTTTATACAAAAACTAGGCAGCATTTTATTTCAGTACATTTTTATCGATAGTGAAGGAATTAAAAAATCGAGAATTTCTTTGATTATTTGGCAGCATTAGGGTCTCCCCCTGTTAAAATGCCATTTAACAGAGCTGCCAAAATTTGACTATTATTTATTCAAGCAGCTCTGTGCTTTGCCTTTTAACACGGAATTTAGCGAGAGCTTTGTTTAATTTGATAATAAAAATTATGGCGGTCTACTTTTAGGCTAACTTGTAAATTTACTATTAAAAACATACACTGTAGACGTTATGAAATTTTTTATAAGTCTGCGAAGCTTTATCTTAGACCTACTATATAGCTATTTTTTCAATATTTTATTTATATCGGTGTTGCCCGATATATTGACATGAACACCACCTACTGGGAACAAACGTCGGAGATCTTGTATATCACCCTTTATAAGCCTTTGTTTTGACTGCTTGTGGATTCTCATATCAAAGTAAAAAAAAAAGAAGTCAAATAAAATCGTCATAAAGGATTTTTCTTTATATACGGAGGCTATTGAAAAAAAAAATTAATTTTTTCAGTTTTCAAGAACGCTTGGTAATTATACATCAACCAAATCGTTATTAGAATAATTTTGTCAAGATCAACACCAACGATATGTTAATAACGAAACAAGTAAAGAAACCAACATTTTTACCCGATGTATTTTTTTTTTTTTTTTGGTATGTTGAACGGAGATGGACTAAGCCAATAGATTTGTGGCTTAAATGTCCGGATAATAAACTGTTGTAATTTTTAGTCACGATTATGTATAAAACGTAACAAAAAAAAAGAGCGGCCGTAATAACTGGAGTGAGCATGTTAAATATAATTCTGTGTGTGTGTGTAAATGTGCTTGTTGAGTTCTTGAAAGTCAGACAGTGTTGCAAACTTTGGCTGAAAACGATAAGGAATGTTATGGCACGCAAAAAAAAAAGAAAAATAAAAAAAAGGAAAGAAGAGGAAAAGGAAAAATTCTAAAAGGATAAATTGGCTTTTCTAATAAAGGAAGTTAGTTCCCCGAGATGACGTACATTTTTTGCTGCAAAGAGATCGAGGAGACAGCCATATAACTTGAAGAAGCTAAAGGAATGTCTAATGCCGTCAAGCCTGTGACATCTGAAGATTAGATGCTCAGCAGACTCAACAACATTGCAAACTTCACAAACATCACATGGTATAGCGCGAATCATTTTTAAATAAACTTTGTCATAAGTATGACCACTCATGAGTCTATAAAGAATTTTGATTTCCCAGGAATTAAAAGAAGATACAGAGAAGGGTTTGAATTGAAATGTGGGATTTAATTCATAGAAAAGACGATTGGATTTAACGAGCGCGATTTCTTTAAATTCGTCGTTTAGCTGTTGAAGGATGTGGGTACGAATTGCCCGAATTGCTTCATTGAGTGTATATTTTATGGACAAAATTGTCCCATCAACACGAGCTCTCCCTGCATGAAAGTCGACTTTTACATTTAAAAAAAAGCCGCAGTGGCTAGGTACCCAAACGAGGTGACAGTCATCCACTTGAGATTCGTGCAACGTCTTGTGAATATCAAACACATATTGATTTTCTGCACCCCTTTTATTTATTAGAAGTAAAGCTGACCTGCTGTCGGAAAAAATAACAAGACGTCTGATACCATCGGAGATAGCAACCTTAATAGCATGTCGAATGGCGAGCAACTCAAGAAAAGTAGAGGAAAGTTCCTCTTCCACTTTGACTCGAAGTACTGTTTCAGATAGATGTTTCACGACCGAGAAGCAAGATACATTATATCCGACGGAACCGTCAGTGGCATACATATCATATCCGTTGTTGTAATAAAAAAGGAGCTTTTCTTGGCATAACAACCTTATACAAGAGAAGTTGACATTTTGTTTTGAGGTAGAGATCGATTCGAGAATGTTTATGAAGACTCTGCATTTTCTGGTAATGAAATTCAAGGGGGGAATTGAATCTAACTTATCAAAAATATGACGAAGTTTTTGGTAGCAAAAAGTATAGCTGCAAGTGACAGTATCACTGAGAGATATAATTTCCTGAAAAAAGGAAGGATTTATCATCTTGACTTTAATTAACTCCTTGGCAGTGCAAAAAAGTGCTCTTTCGGAAACCGGCCATTCACCAGATATCACATTGAGAATATGTTGAGGAGTTGAGGGGTCAGTCCAGTACAACGCTTCAACATTCGGTTTTCAAATGCTTGTACACGTTTCTCAATATATTTTGGGAAATTGCAACATGTGGAACGTCCAAATTCAATTTTGGACCTGATTAGAGATTAGCAAATGGTCAAAGCGTTTTTGGGAGGCAAGCCTGCCTGATTGTTTGCCATGAGTTTGATGATGTTGCATCCAGACTGACAATCTTTAAACGCCTTTTCATAAGGCCCACGAAGGGTTAAGCTGTCTTTTAAAATCCTCCCGAGAAATCGAAGAGATTTTACCTGATTAACTTGGGTACCTTTGATAAGAAGTCTGATTTCACGTTTAGAACCTTTGGCAAAATAAATAGTGTTTGTGTTGCTGGGGTTAAAATATAAATTAAGATCAGCGCATGCATCGAAAAACAAGTTCGCTTTCATCGAGAGGTTATTGACAGCTGCTGGAAAAGATGAGTTCGCAGATACGATTAGAAAATCGTCTACATATTGAAAAATGTGAGTTTTGTCATCTTGAAGATCATGCAAAGAAGCTGCGTATAAATTGAAGAGTATCGGGCTTAAACAACTGCCTTGTGGGATACCACCACATATTTCAACTTTTTCGTTACCCATTGCCAACACACGTTTGGATAAAAAATTAAGTATCCACAGCCGCATTTGAAGAGGAATCGAAAAGTTTAGTAGAATTCTACCAAGCTTAATCAAGTTGACACAGTCATAGGCTTTGCTAATGTCCAGGGAGAGCATGACAACCATTTTCCCTGCTTTTTTTAAGCTTGCTAAGAGAAAACACAGTTCATTAACGCACACATTCGTAGATTTGCGTTTTTGATAGGTGTAAGACCGAGCTGGAATAATGTTCTTAGTTTTCAGGAAAGCAGTTAGTGTCTCCTTAACCATGAGGTTGATGGTCTTTATGAATACAGATATTAGTGAAATTGGTCTGAAGCTATTTAAATCATTTAAGTCTTTACCTGGCTTGGAAATGGGAACTATTTTGATGCAACGTAAATCAGAGGGTATAAAGTTGGTGGAACAGCAGTTGTTAATTGCATGCAAAAGCATGCTAAAGCTACCTTCAGACAGTGCTCTGAGCATGTCATACTTGACTCCATCACAACCTGCAGCAGTAGCTCTCTTTCTGGAATGTAAAACATACATTAGCTCATGCAATGAAAAGGGTATGTTACTGATAGGATTGACAATTGGAATGTAGCTCTTGAGCATATCTAAGTAGTTTTTATTATCACGGTCATTCCATACAGCACAACCGCTTAATTTTCGACTAGAATGTGGATGACCGTTGATATAATTCCAGAAGGAACGTGGGTTGCCGGTACCACATAACTCTTTAATGGCGATGGCTCTATGTGTCCTTTTCGCCTTTCTAACTGCAGACCTCCATTCTTTCAGTGTTTTCATATATTCAATGTAGTTGGCTGGATTGGCATATTTCCCCTTTTTTTTTCTTGCAGCTTGGTATTTGCGGAAAAGTGTTGACAGGGAAGGGTTCCACCAAGGTTCAGGTGAGAAGGGCTCAATGTCAGGAAAGTTGATTCTAGCAGACATGATCACAGACTGAAAGGCAATTTGAATTGATGATAAATCAGAAGGAAGATCATCTTTAGACAGACGGTCCATAAGGAAGTTGCGTGAAATGAAATTTTCTATTTTCTTGACGGAATTGTTACAACTGTGGAATATGATGGAGGAGTGCTGACTTTTGCCAATGGAAATATTGGACGTGTTCCAGTTGAAAGATAAAATAGTTGAGTTCGAAAAAGTTAGATCCAAGACACTGCTCGCCGTGCGACCGCTCCGGTTACAGTGAAAGTTAGTATTGCCGTTATTTAAGACACTGAAACTGCTGGAATTGATGGCATTTACAAGGATTTTTCCTTTGTTGGTAGAGTCATGATCGCCATACAGACGGTGTCTTGCATTGAAATCTCCAGCTAGAATCACATTTTGTTCACGTCAAGAACGTCGCATAATCTGTGAATCTCATCACGAAAGGTTTGCACATCGAGACTGGGTGGAAAGTAGCATGAGGTTTCAGGTTGATGGTTTTGATGATGATGATGTCAACGGCAGAGTTATAGGGAATACGTCTGAAATTGACACCTTAACTAATATACTAACACCACCATAGCCATCATTTCGGCATTTGGTGGCTGAGGCATAATTCGAAACTTTAACTTCGAAACAATTTTCATCTTTCAGAAAAACTTCACTTAAGATACAAAAATCAATCTTGTTTGAGTTTAAGTAAAAATCTAGAAAAGATAGGTTACGTCGGACACTTTGAATATTATATTGTAAAAAGGATATCATGTTGAAACTTGAGAAAGAACCCCAGCGGATTTCCTCGTAGTACTGGATGCTCGAACGGGGCAAGAAATTGCACAGACAGACATTTTTTCTTCAAATTATTTAATAAGATTGTGAGGGATCATCGGACGGATACTTTCTTGAATCGCGAGAATTAATCTTTCAAGTTCTGAAGACCGCAAATAGTTGTTTGAAATTTTCGGTCCAAGAAGGCTTGTTCCAGACGACTTGGGGGGTGTATTGGGAGAAGGCTTGGTGCGTGAATTGATAAGAGGTTTGGAAGGAACCAATTTCCTTTTGACGACAGCATTGTTTTTATGTTTGGTTAAGATTTTGTTGGCATTTTGATTATCATCCTTGGCCGAAATTGCAGAAGTGTTCCCCAGTGGAGGGAAATTGCCGTCATAAGTGATGTCATCGAGACATTCGAAATAATTTTCGGAAAAATTCTCTTTGATCTCTTTATACGAAAGATTTTTAATCGCCATTATCCTGTTGATATTTGATTCAATTTCCCTATTAGGGCAACACTTATTGAGAGCGTTGTGCTCACCTGAGCCACAGGACAATCACTTCATCGCCTCACAATTTACACACTTTGGAGACTTTCCACAGTTAAGGCACCTGCTCCCTTTAGCTTTGCAGAATTTAGATACGTGACCGTATCTGCCACACTTAAAGCACTGCTTTAAAGTGGGTACAAAGTATTCGACCGGCAGATTACAATAGTAAAATTTTATTGACTTAGAAAGGGCTCTCCCTTTGAAGCCAATTTTGATGCTGGTTGTGGGAATTCACTCGTCTTTGTTGTTGGGATTTCTTCTTTGGAAACGGACAGCGGACTTAATTGGAATAACGGATATGGCGTTTTTAATTATATCATCGACACTATATGTGCATGGGATGTTTCGAATAACTCCAAATCTCTCAGTGAACGACCTCAGTATGTACGCTTTTAAATTCTTTTTATTAAATTCATTATTCATAACAAAATTGTTGGCTTTGGCAGCGGAGCTGAAAAGCAGTTTGGCTCAACCCATGCTGAATTATTCAATAATTAAAAGAATGCCTTCTAATCTTGATGACGTAGATTTAATAAAACTGGTTGAAAGCTATCCTGTACTCTATGCGAAATATCAGGGGTTTGCTGGTAGAACAAATATAGCGGATAATATGGGGTGATCAACATGACAGTTCGGTTTTCGGTAATTTTGTATTAATTATTTCCCTTTTTCCAGCTTTTTCCTAGAGATTTAAATCTTGTTAAATAAAGGAGGATGACTTCTTTAACGTACTCGACGCTAAAAGAGAGTTAAGTCAGGGTATAGTGGAATGTCAGAAACGTGGTTTAGTGTACAGCGTCAAATGGTTAGCTGAAATGTGCCACGGCCTTGCGGACGTGGATATTGACGGCGAGGATTGAAAAAGATAATTTCGATATTAAAATGCTGGAAGGCATAGCACCGAAAAAATATGATAATTATTTTCTGGCTAAAAGTTACCTTGATGTACGTGAATATGATAGAGCTGCTCATTTAGTGCGGAATGCTAGTTCTCCAGTTCCCAGATTCCTTCATTCTTATGCCACTTATATGGCAGTGGAGAAACGACGGTTGGATTCGACCACGGATCAATCGAATCTAAATGACTCAGGTCACTTTAAAGACCTGGGTGAGATTTTGGTTACTTTGCGGGCAGAGCATTCGCGAAATAAATTAGACGGTTACGGCATGTTTTTATACGGTGTTGTAATAGAAGAGCAAAAGTGACCAAGTCAAGGAAAAAGAATCGGAAACAATCAGGAAACCATTAAAAAGAATAGCAATTTCTTTTATATATATTTTTATATATATTAATAATGGATTTTAATTGTATAATAAAGCTATTATATAAATAAAACTATTTATGTTTATATATAAATTATATAAATTAATACACAGCAACAGGAAAGGGGTTTTGGGTTTAATGACAACATTGTTTGGATTCATCATAAAGAGCCAACAGTGTATCATCGGTCTGTTGACATAAAAATTGCTTTGAATCATCTTGAGGAAGAACTTGAGGAAGATATTCGAGTTTTTCTCAGCTGCTGACAATTTGCCGCTCCATCTGGGGTAATCTCCTTCTTTTTCTTTCTTCTTTTTATACAAAGCAAGTTATCCTCATCACCATCACTTTCATGAAATTCATTTCGCAAGGCTTCCACGCGTTTTTTCCCTTTCTCAGATATGACCACTTTAATAATAATAAAAAATAAATTATAAAAATAAGCATCAAAAAAGGGTGAGGAATCCATACCTTGGGTTATCTGCTTATTTGCTTGAAACTTGGATATATTGGGAAAGTTATTATTTTTATTATTATTGATCTGCCCGCCCTATGGTACGCGCTAGAGTTAGGGCTGCGTCACGCAGCCGACAGACTGACTAAACAACTAATAGCGGACCGCAATATATTAATCAAAATAGATAGAAATTCGGAGGATTCTTTAAGCTTTGACGGGAAAGAGGGGAGGGACCATCAGTTTTTGCCCAATTTAGAAGAAATGATTGACGAAGCAATTGACGATGAGCAGACGTTTGTTAATATGCGAAGCCCCGCTAATTTAGGTATTATAGATAGGACTAGCATAGATTATAGCAGCTACAAAGACAATGGGCCATCAACATCAGGCCAGGCAGCAGAGCGGAGACTGAGAAAACGGCATCATGTGGACGAGTCAGTGAACGAGCATGTAATCCAGGAGGCAGCAGCGGGAAAGTTGAGAAAACGGCGTCATCTGAACGAGCACGTGAACGAGCCAATGAACGAGCCAGCGCACGAGCCCATGAACGAGCATGTAGTCCAGGAGGAAATTTTGAGCACAATGCCGGATGTCGAGGGACTGCGTGAGCTCGTGACAAAGTAGTTGTGCTAACCTTTGACGAAATATTTACTAAACCGGAAACGACCTATTTGACAATAGAGGACAGACTATATGGGTGTGACTACGACGAGAAAGGAGCAGTGGCCAAGTTCTAGAAAGTTTTATTCTTCGGACTGCGTAGCGGCGTTTAACACGGCGTTGAACGCCGTCAACATGCTACTCGGCACACATGCCTTTATCCATTACCGCGGAGCTAAAGAAATACTACACGACTACATCAACCTACTAGAAGAGATTGGACTGGACTTAAAGGGAATCGTAAGCGACAGAGCCAAAGGCAACAAGTCAACACTCCGAGAATTTAAAAACGGTGTGTACACGCAAAAAGGAAAAGACAGAAGGCGGTACAAGATACGCCTCATGCACGATTATATCCACCTGGTGACAGCATTCCACAGCAACATAGCACGCGACTCCAGCTACAACATAAAAATCATAGCCCAACTGAAAGACGAATATCTGAAGGATGAGAACTTAGCCAAATGCAACTTCTGGCTAAGTAAAGGGGTATTACCGTCGGGCGTCGCAACGCAAAGGTCACCGGCGGCCTCAAGGTAATGAGGGCCTATAGATATATTCGTGCAATGACGAAATTCACCAACGTGTTTCACAACAACGAGTTACACAACGACACATGGCAGAATAATAAGGCTGAACTCAAATCTGTCGTCAAATACCTAAAAAAGGAACATAAGATGACGGAAGTATCACTGGCCGTTCAACTTACTGCAATCAACTTCATGAAGATAATAGAAGAGCAGCTGCGAGCTTATCCTGACATTTCGATTTCAGGGCACAGGATAAGCCAGGACCTGTTAGAAAGCTTCATCTGTAATATGGCGCAAACATATAGGCAACGGTTGCGATTACCCTATGAAATAAGTCAACTTACGAAAGATCTCATTAAATTTCAAACGCAGTTTTGGGCGACATCGACGACCGACGACGATTACGAGGTTACTGAAAAATTCGGTTATCGAATTGAAAAACACACCGAAGACGAGTTTCGGCCGTTCGGCCTGGATGGCGTGGCGTATGATGACATTGACACCCAATGAAGGACACCTAAACACCGCAAATATTTCCGGCTACTGACAGGATACAGAGTAGGTCAGTATATAAGGGATCAAATACGATGCCAGCCATGCATGCAGGATTTAACTATGAGCAAAAGAGAAGCATGCAAGAGAATGGGCCGCCAACAACTATAACAAAAAATAAACATAACAACAAAATCCCGACCAGCGAATATTTAAATGCAGAGTTTGTGAAGGAGGGCGTCAATATCATATTCGAAGAAGTGTACTATCTACTATACATCATAACCAAGAAGCATATGCCGGACAAAAACCTAAGAGCGCGTGCTGTGGCGACCATTGCGGAACTGATTCCATTCTTCAAAGGGAAAGGAACCTGCCCAAATGGAGATGAACACAGGAGGAATTTATTATCATATATTGTTAAACTGGCGCTGAGCGGTAAACATTGGAGGGAGAGACCGGACCGCAATGTGTCGTCTTTCTCAAGACAATCAGCAGATAATTAAAATAGTTAGAATGTATTCATATTGTCAATATTTTCATTTACTTATCTCATGTACCTCATGTTCACTTATGTCTACATTATACACATTTATATTATGTATTTATATTATATTTATATTAAGTCAATTAATGAGCGGGGCTTCATATATATCTCTTATTCATAACTATTCATAACATTGCAAATATAATGCAAGTTATATTTATTTAAAATAATGTGATATTTAATATAATTAATATAGTTTTTGAGCCGATAGCCTGTGTTGCCAGTGCTCAATGTCTTTTTCTAGTCTAAGAATTCAATTCATTTGTCTAAATTTAAAATAATAATAATAATATAGTTTTAAAATAAGTATATAATGGTGTAGGCCTATAGGGGAGCCAGCCATTCAAAACAATTGGCAACGCGCCTGTCACGGTACCTCAAGGGTGGCGTGCAGAACCGTGATAAGCGATCGTAAATAAAATTCCTATACTACCCAAACCTTTAATGATGTTTAATAATGTTTTGATGTTCAACATTCTCTTAAATGAAACTATCGACTGCAACAGAAACCTTGAAATTTCTTGCAGGAAGACCAGTATTGAAAATGGGCCAAATTGGTCGAAGGACGGGTCCGCATTGTCATCTAAACCTCTGTTTTTCAAAAAACATAAAAAATTTTTTTTTTGCTCACTATTCATGTACTCATAAGCTGTAGCAGATAAATGTACAAAAATGATGCTATAGTATTTGAACAAAAATGGAAAAATTTGACCACGCCTACCCAATAATATAGTGTATTAAAATTTCACTTTTTTCAATACTTTTCTAACACGCAAGAACAAGCTTCAAAAACCTTTTAAGTCGATATTAAATTTCAAGTAATATAAATAAATTCCTGCCCTTAGTTTATTCTTATTCGAACCATGAGTAGAGGCGTTCCCGTTTTTTTTGATTTTTCTTATTGGGGAAATTTTCCAAGAAAATAGTGTAACTTCTAGTCAAAACTAAAACTTAATGTTATGCATAAAGATTTCCAAGAACGCGAAAATAAGTAATTGATGCCAAGCAACAGATCGCTAACTCCTTCGAGCTGATTAGCAAATCTGGAGATTCAGATGCGACAATTGAATTTGCTGCCATCAGTTGCTGTGAAGGCAAACATTTGCCTTTTATTTCGATATTTCAAACTATGTTTTCGGGAAACAATTGAAGCCAGGAGCGAACGGAAAATATTGGACGATTTTTTTGGATTATGTTTGACACGACATAATCCGACATATTCATTAAATGTTTAACACTTTAAGAATCAATAGCACAAAATATTGAAAACAAAATAAAAAAGTTGTAGCTTTATGTTGTTGTATACATTTGTAGCTTTTTTTTATTTTCATAGACAAATTGATGCTTTTGTTCATTTTCATTCATTTCACATTAACATCATAAATTTCACATTTATTAAAAACAACTCTGTACTCTCTCTGTTCTGAAATACGGTACTTTTTATAAGCCGCTTGAAGGGGAAAATAAGGTGAATTCAAATTCATTTTAGAAATGCATTCACGTATTAGGAATTATCATTACTTATTAGTTGAGAGGAAGAAATACAGGCAAGCATGCTAAACTTCTAAAACAATCTCGGGATACAAAAGCAAATTGCAAACAGAAAATCTTGCGAAAATTTATATAAATATTGTTTAGGCGATAGAGGAGTCGAAGATTGTTGTTGGAGTTTTGATGGAGATTTTTCAAGAAATGCTAGAAAGATACCACCCTACATATGACTTTCGCTGTATTCTGCTTTGACTAAAGTTGATTTTGAAGTCATGTTTAGTTCGTTGTTTCGATTGTACGGTTCGCAAAAACTAGCTAGACCTCCAAAGTTTATACCAAGATTTTAATAGCCCTTTACATAAACAATAAGCTATTTGCAGTTGCTGTCTAACATTAATAATCTTGATTAAAAGGAAACCGAAAGCGTAAAAAGTGCCTTCAGATGAACTTAAGGAGTTCTTAAGAGATTTTTAAAGTAAATCATTTTTTGCGTATTTTTTTTTACAACTATTGATGTTCTTTTTATTATATAAGCAATAATTCGTAAATAATTTGATTGTTGCATGGTGATGGAGGAATTAACAGAATTCATAGTCTAGAAAGCTGTCTATCGGATTATCGGATATTAAATTGCTTTCAAGTGTTTTTTTAACAGCTAAAATATGGATAAAAGAAAGCAAGTCAAGCAAAGTCAGCTTTTAGACACCCTACCCCAACTTCGCCTAGCAGAATCACTCCGTTTGGTCATAATACACTAAAGGCGGCTCTTTATCTTCATGCAAAGGCACACTTTTCGTGAAAGCCCAACACATACGACATGATCTAAATTTTGCATATATTAGCTTTTGTCATAAAGAACTAGCAATTATACTTTACCTTCATAAAAGAGCTTGGTTCTCATGATAGCCCCGACATATGTTAGGGTTTAAAAACTAGAGCTATGTAGTCCGGACTACCATTAATATTTTTGTCAAATTGGCACTACGGACAAATCTTAATCATAAAAATTGAAAAATGAAATCCTTTTTTTTGAAATTGTTTCGGTATTGTTCAAGAGAAATTTTATATGGAATGGGATCCTAGAGGTAGACCTATGTAGTTCAAATTTGGTCCAATTAATTCTCATGCCAAATTACCATAGTGAACAAATTTTCATCGCAAAGCATTAACAAGTAGGGGTTTTTGGTACATAAGGGTTTATGTTCTCTGAAAATTCTTGTATGCTCTAGTATTTAAAACATAGACTTACGTTGTCCAAATTCGGTAAGGTTGATTTCTTTTTACCATATAAACATTCAGTTTCAAGTCAAATTTCTCATACCAACTAAAAAGGTCAAAACATTATTGCCCGGTGACTTTTGTTGAATAATTTTGAAAACTGCAATTTTCCCGACTTTTCAAATACGGCATTATATGGAGAGTTGAAAAAGTGTGCCGATCCGAGCCATTTTCAATATCGTGCGCCCTTGGGTTAAAACGCATCGGTATACAATATATTGTCAAAATGTCTCAAAAATTGCGATTTGCAGGTTGTAGTGATGTTGCAAATGGAATTGAAATAGTATTCAATATAACAGACCTACTGTTGAATAAAAAACAAATCGTTTATAAATTCAATGAAATTTTTTTTGTCGAATAGCACTACTCGTTTATTCAAAAATAGTTTTAATACCAATTTTGATTGTAACACGAATCGTGTACATCTCTATAAACATACAAGTGCGATTCTAATCTTAATATTTATATTTGAAATTCATACGAAACAAATATTGTATATTAACCTGAGCTATATCGTATACAATAAATTCATTGTATAACAATGAAGATTTCAGTTCCGAATCGGTGATTGGTTTACCTAAAGGAATCTCTACACCATCTTGTCTAAAGTGGGATTCTTTGGGGTCTGGCATAGTCCGGCCACGACCGAAGCAACTATGTTTATCTTTTGATAATTTTGTAACATATTTAGCCGCAGTGCATTCCATCATATCACCTAACGCCACCTCTGACAGCAACATAAGGCCAGTAGGATTTTGATTACTAGTGAAGCAATAATTCGCAGACTTAGATACCATGTCAGCAAAGTAAATGCCTTTACCAAACATATAACCCGTGCAGGGAGCTTCTGGGGGAGCAATTTTCAAACCATGGGATAAAATGCCCGCGTAATTAGTAAGACGGGAGCCATGCCAAAGCAAACGACGATTATGTAGTTTCTTGAAAGGCTTAAAACGACGAGCCTCGCCTTGACGAGACACTTTGAATATATCCACGATGTCCAGTTCATACATATTATGGGTCTCACCATGGGTATTTTGAACATATTTCTGCAATAAAACATATTCTTCACTCTTCTTATCCATAGGCTCCAAAGTAATCTTGAGTTGTTCATAGTGTTGATCAATGGGATTTAAATCCCCTTTACCATCGCCCGTTTTAATTAAATTGTAGGCACATTCAATTTCCAGCAAAGAATCTAGCATTTCACGTAATTTTTCTATTTGCTCAGTGGTATCGAGTAGAGGCGGGCTCTGAGTACCAAAGTTATGTGGTATTAAAGTATAGAAACGATTAGTTGCATCTATAAATTTCGTATCAGTGCCACTTTCTTGAATCAATCCATGAATTTCAGTCAGCACTTTGTAAGCGGACTGAATTTGCTTTTGACTCAGTTTTCCAAGAGGCATCTTCTCCATATCCAAATCAAATTCCAGCATTGTACGCTTCATGGTATCAATATCGAATATCAATTTAATGATATCTTGAACCGGCATAGGCAGCTTAGATTTAATACTATGTTCAGCTGACAAATCCACTTTGGCTTCTTCCGAGTAATCAATATCAATAGGATACATACATCCTGCTACCTAAATCGACAACAACATTAGAGGCCTTTTTAAAACCAAACAGATTAATTCACCTTAACAAAGTTATCACGATTCTCAAAATGATTGCCCGATTTTTCTAAATACAAAGCTTTAAAAGAATCGATTGCTTCAATTAAGTTTGGAAACTTTTCCAACTTATGACCTCCAATCGTGGTTCCAATGCGTCCCCAGGAACGAAACACCCAAAATCTATAATCATACATTGAAAAGTAGGAATTGCACACCTTTTGTTACACAAAAACAAACCTATTTTTCTTATCATCCTGGAGCAATTGCAACTTGTAATACGAATTCTTGTTGCGCTGTATATCTGTCTGACCCAAAACTGCATTATATTTATCCTTATTCTTAGCGATATAAACATGGGCTACGTCTTCTAAGCCGCTATCCGGATCAACCGCTAAACCATCTTTTATTTTCAAAGTCATAGATGAGGGCACTGATTTAGTATAAATGCTTTTCGATTTCAAACTTTTCTTCTCCTCTTGAGGTACACGCGGCGAGGGATCTGTGCCCCAATCGCACAACGTCATACTAGTTATAAAGCTAACTGCACCTGATGGATCAGTGTCGACTGAATCCAAATAGTCGATGGGTATCACATGTAGCCCTAATTCCTTGGCTTTTTCCATCCGACTTCCTAAGCGTTCAACCTCTTTGGCTGTAGAAAACACCGCTACAGTCTTTTCAGATATTTTTGTCTCGCATTTACCACCCATCTGGGCTACGCGGCTTTTAAGTTTCTCTTCCTGGCCCTTGAAACCTACATAAGAAAATGTTAAATTATAAAGAGGAGGCCGTTCACGTTTCACTTTAGGCCCATCAACTAAGTCGTTATCCTTTTTCAAATCAACATTTTTAGCTATAACCGCTGCACTGGGTGGTATATATCTGATAGCACGTGCTTCTGGATTTTTGCTGACTTCTTTCAAGAATTTATATTTTTTCTTTAACTCTGTTGGTACTTTACACGCTCCCCGTTTCGGGTCTTTAAGTAAATTTGTGCATCGCGTCCATTCAGTCAATTCCCCATTGCAAAGATATCCTGATTTATTAAACAATAACTGCTGACCCTTACATTCGGAACAAGGTGCTAAAGCACCAAATGTCAGTAAATCGGCAACTTGATCGAGTAACTTCTCTGAATCGCCCTCGACAGGATCTTGATGGTTAAAGCGTAATAACATATTCCGGTCATTTTTTGACATTTCCTCTTTAACAAAATCACGAAGTTTGTGTAGACGTTTCGTTTGCTTTTCCACTTTCTGCAACAATTCTTTGTTAATCTTCTCATCTTCTTCATCCAACTTTTCCAACTTAGCCTTTTTGGGAACTGGAACATCTTCAGATTTCACTGACCTTTTTTTCGAATAGGTTAGAAATTTTGAAATATTATATTAAAAATATTCATACTTACGGCAAAGCTTTTTTCACTTTTTCTTGGTCTTCTTTTCCGAGAGTGTCAAACCCTGGCAAATTGGAGCCTGTATCTAACCAGCCCAATTCGCCGCGAAGTTGAGCAAAACATTCGCAATGATGCCATAATGCCTGTCCTCCATATTTCATACCTACTTCAGTATCGTAAACAGTTTTTCGTATACGGAGCTGATCTTTAAGAATTTTTTGTTCGCACCCACGACAGGCTGCCCTACCAGATTTGGCGTATTCAATGCCGAAATCTTTCAATGCATTATTTTCGGCTTTGGAACGTTTTTTACTTTTCTTCTCAGATGTGCTGACAACAACCCCATTTCCTAAAGATTCTAGAGAGGCGAAGAGATCGGTTAATTAAATGTCAAGCGACGAACTTAATAAATATACCAACCGATTTTTTTCTCGAGTCGCTTTTGATCTTCAATCCGAAGATTCTCGTAGTTCGCAATATCACCTACGGATCCAGGACGTTGCTTTTTAAAGAAGCAAGATTCGTGAAACCAATTCGTTTGTTTGCCGTCATGAAAAGCAGACTGAACCATTACGGCAATGCGAACCGAGCCCTGAGAGATAGTGTCTTTGCATCCCTTGCAACTGGCTCGCCCGGTTTTTGCATATTCCGTTTTAAACGGTAATTCTACGTTCATTTTAATCAAAATTTAATTGAATTTTAACAACACACTACAACACTTCTACAGACAGTTACGAAAAATAGATTACTGATTTTATTAGGCTTCGAAACAAATTTCACAAAATTTGACGTCAATGCCCGGCGCGAAAATTAACCAGAAACACAGAAAGTAAAGCTCGACTTTTGCTTTTGTTACAGGAATGTGAATTGAGATGCATCTACTGAAATTTGCATGTGGACGTGAAAATAAGAAACCATGAAAATTGGAACAAAATGAAAAAAGTACAAACATTTATGGCAAAACAAAGAATAGTTTTTCTATTAAATTTGAAAAAAGATTTTTTAAGTGTAGAGATAGTAAAAAAACGCACAAGTATTCGAAAAAATCAATTATTTTACAGATACCGCGGATTAACATCGGGAAACAAAAAAAGCAGTCGCACTAAACACTATATAACTATTATATAAATATTGCCGTATGGATAAGATAAGAGATCAATAAAGTCGTTAACATATAAAGTCTATTGCTCCCTCCCTTGCTCAGAGGGAAAATAACTAAGTCATTAAAGGTTTTGCCTACGTGATGACGCACGCTTTGAGAGTGAAACTGACATGAATGTTGACGAATAAAACACATGGTTTAAGAAAAGAAAATAAAGATTAATAATCATTTTTAACGGATAGGTTCTTTAGAATTTAAAAAATTACTTTAAAGCCCTTTTGTATGGAAACATGTAATGCCGGATTACTTTTTGAAGACTTCTGCCTTACTTCTGGACTTTACAAAGATACGTGATCGAAGTTAGTGCCATATAAAATTTGCGACTGCTCTATTTCGTTAAGCTCCATTTTAAATCGCCTCCACGTTTAAGCCCTAAACACGCTAACGTGAGCACGTAGTTTGCAAAATTAGCGTTTGCCAAATTAGTAAAGCGAAAAATGCCTTTTGGAGTAAAATTCAATTAGCAAAGCGGAAAAATATTTTCCCCGTTAGCCCAATATATTTTAGATTAATTTTTTCTGTTTTTTAGTAAATATGTATGACCACTTCGAGATCGTACTGTAATGGAGTTAGTAGTTCAAATAGCACCTAGCCCAAATAATACTTTAGACATTGGTCATTGGTCAAATTAACGAAAATGTTTATATTTTTTGGAAGAAAGGCAAAAAAGAATTTTTTTATGATTAGAGCTTGCAGTGAGCTTTCAGTTACTGTTGGTTACGCTAAAGACAAAGTCGTGCTGAATAGCTGGTGCAAAATTTTCAAATGAAAGAAAAAATATGACATTTTTTTTTGAAACTGCCACGAATAATTTAACTAAATTAACGCTGCGGTCATCCGCAATTCATTTTTAAACGAAAAAAGAAATAGTTTTTAAAATGATTATAAAAAACCTTTCCCCTCGTCAAGTAGCAGTAGATATGTCCTATATTCAAGGTATTGTAAGGAATCTACCAGATCAAGCAACAATAGTGCAAGTTCATTGAGATTAGTCGTTAAACATCAATGATAAGGGTTTTGAAGAAAAATCATCAAAATAGAGAAAGCAATAAATGTTCATATAAATTAAACAAATATATATAAATATACAAAGAAGAAAAGATGAAAGTACACGTAGAAGATTTTGACAAGTGACAACACAGTGCTTGCGTTATGCGATGTGCGGGATGAAGATGATAACAAGTTAGACGGCTGTGTTTTGTAGGAAGTTGGATATTATTTGGTCCCAATACGCACGCAGATGCACGTGAGTATGAAAATTCTTTTATTATGACGACATAGAGAACATTCATCTTAATTCATTTTGCAAACATTACGGACTTGTAGAATATGAAACGCATAAAAAAGACTTTAGCTGGCAAGGATAATTTGAATGGTACGGAGGTTATGGGCCAACCTATACAAGTGAATTGGTGTTTTGTACACAAAGAATTAAAAAGGGTTCGGAAAAAAACGTCGATGAGTGTAGAAACGCATTTTGTTTTATGTAGAAAGAAGACGTATGTAAATAATGTGTACAAAGAACTTTGATGATGGAACAATCGGAATTTTTATAACCATCTTTCTAGTTGCATTTTTCACGACCTGCGCGCCCATCTTTAACTATTTCCAAAAGTGATTCTTCATAGTGTTTACGTTTTTTATAAAACGTCTGGACATTGTCGAGTTTTGGCAGTTCTGAACTTTCTTTTACTAATGCACATTTGCTCGCACTGTAAGTACTTTTTTAAAATTGGATGCATTAATGCGTTTGAAATCTTTTTTATTGAATTTACGAGATAACGCAAGTTCCTTGGCAGACTCTTTTTCATTAAGCTTTTTGACATCGGATGGAATTACATACGGTATTTTTACGGATTGCTCTTCGGAGTCTTTGGTACTACTGTTGTCACTTTCACTGTCCAATTGGCTTTCCCCTCCGTTATCACAACTTTCTTCATTGTTGCCAGCTTCATTTTCGCTGCTTGACATGTCCTCTCATTTCCTTTGATTGCTGTCAGATTTATGATCGTTTCGGTACGCTTTTCAAATTCCTTGAAAACGCCACGGCTCCCTGTACCGTTTTATATATTTGAATCTTACCATAAGCCTGGGGTTTTAATTCAGCCTGAGTTTCCATGCCTGAGCAGCGAACTGTTAAATTCTAATTACTTGTTGATGATGTGGTTGCATAAATATTTTGATATATGGATAAAAAGAAACCAAGGAAAAGAAAACAATCAAACGATGTATTATATACAGGTGTATATGTTTCGCTTCAAAACACTCATTGCCACTTTGTATAGGCGTAGTATTCAGTTTTCCGTTCCGTTAGACATGTACACAGTGTCATCACTAAACCATTCTCAAAATTGACACAGATCAATCGTCTACTTGAGCTAACTGGCAAGGTAACTCGACCGTCACGTTTAGCTGTATTTGTACCTGTGGTTAAATGTAGAATATTCTTTATGCGAAACTCCCCATTTAGCTTCGGTGATGGATATGTGCTGGATTTACGATTTTAATAGTTACGCAGGCGATCAAATATATGTTTAATAATCACTGGCTTATCGCGAAATAAATAAAATAAATATGTGCAATGACAACCATACTTTTCGTAAATTTGTTGCAGTTTTTCGGTTAAAGTAAGACCTTCGAAATCATGAAGACAACAAGCTACGGTAGCCAAGTGAATGACAAAACTAACACCATTCTTATCTAGAACGGCTGTAGAAAATATAAAACCTATTGCTTCTTCAAAAGCAAATGAAAAATGTTTATCTTGAAAAAAACAAAACATAATATATTTCCAATGTCCAGGCGGGTAGGGAATATATGCGACTATCAATCAATTTTCCAATGCATGCATGATTTTCTAAACGTAGCATTCGCAAAGATGATAAAATTTATCAAATGATACTCTATATATATCCATAAGATATGCCTATTCATAATAAAAGAAAGAAAAGATTATTACGTCAACCCAACCCAAAAAGGCGTAGACGTCTTTCGTTTGCGAACATGACTTAGTGAAATTTTGCATTATATATTGTAATAGAGACCGTTAAAGTTTTACGATTAAATTAAATTTGTTATAGACGGATGGATTCATGACGCGAGCTCAATAATCATTTTGATGAGGAATATATAATATATGTATACATACATAGAGAATTTGTTCGTTGTCGCTCAGTTTCATGCTTTACAAGCACTTGTCAAATCGGATATGCTTCCTGTGATGGATATTGTTATCATGAATGTGACTTGTCATTATTAAATTTAGAAAAGACCTTTTTAAGACCTCAAGAAATGAGGTTTCGATTTTACCAAGGATTTTCATTATTATTATTATCAGATTAATAGTACACGACAGTTTAAAATGAAAATTTAAATGGAAATGAACGATGTTTGTACGAGGTATAAGCGGAATAGATAAAGATGATGAGGAAGGTGGTATATTTTATAGCACAAAATATGTACTATCTTTGCAAGAATCTTTTCATCCTACAAGTTTTCAATTACATTAATTAATTAATAAACAAACAAAACTGAAAATTTAATTTAGTTTAATCTGTAAAATGTTAAGGTTAAACCGAAAAAAAAATGCTAATAAATTTATCCTAAAGAGGCAATTAATTATAAATGCCGAGCTTTATTATTTTGTGGCTTGATTTTCTGGCGGAGCTTTTTATCTCAAACATTAGATTCTTTTTACGCGTTTCTTTTTGTTATATTTTAAGTTTTGCGATTTTATTCGAAACTTTCTATATGTAACATAGAACCGATCTTGCATTTCTGTTCCCTCTCTGTTCTCAATATATGGTGCTCTTTTTATAAATGTAATAGAAAAATTCAGCTAACGGTTTTTAACAAGAAGCCAAAGCCATTTTGCAAGTGCACAAAGAAGTTTGACAAAGTTAGAAATTCCTCAATAAAATGAAATAAATTATAAAGAAAATTGGGGGAAAAAAGAAAAAAGTGATGTATCAAATAAAATTTCATATTGTATTTAAAATTATTATTGTATTAAATAGATTAAAGAAATTGTAAGAAAGTGTATAAAAGACGTGCTGAAAGAAATATAAGGAAATTTTGGGAAATTAACAGTAAGTACATTTATTTCTCGCATTAAAATAACAGAAATAACATATAAACTTTAGTATTTAATTATAATTATTGTAGTTATTAATTTTTTATATTTTTATCATGTAAAAATGTAATTAAAGGTTGTTTCATTTGATATTATGTAGTTGTTAATTAAAAATTTTATGATAATGGTCTATAATAAATTTCATTTCTTTTCAGGTACATCTTCCATATATTTGGTATCATATATACATATATTATATTTGTTTATTTTCTTTTACATATTTTATATTATTATTTTTCTTTATATATATTGTGAGGAGTTAAAATCGTCCCTCGTTTTGGCCTCACCGGTTCTTCGTCTCTGAGGGGGGAGTGCTAGGCTATGTTAGGTTAAGAATTGAGAATGGGATTAAGTATAGTACTAGACGGACGACGGAGATAAGAGAACCCCAGTCAAAAACAGATGTTTTCTGATTGGGATATGGTAAGGGAGCCGTAAAACAGCTGGCCTCAAATTGTCCGTGTCGAGCGACAGACCGATCCGGTTGAGCAGGGAAGAGTGTCAGGGCAGAGTTGCGAGCAAGCCGCGAAACAATACGGTCAGGTTTCTAGTGACAAGCTAGTGTCGCAACTCTCGCCCTTGTGAAATTTGAAAGAATGGATTGGAGTGAATTTAACAGCAGGGCAGAGAAAAATAACAAGTAATTTAACCTTCGCTTTTGAT